GCACTAACACAGCAAACCTAGCTCCTAGAGAGGCCAGCAGGGCTGCTGAGTGTGCACCTCAGCCTTCCAGAGATCTTAATCACCCTAATGTTTGTTGGAGGTAAAATCTGGTACTCCTAGAGGCTCCGTAAGAGTGATTAGCACAAATAGTAACAACGCCACAGGCTCACACTGTAAAAATCTCTTAGGCTGAAATGAAAACAGTTTCTGGTAATTTTTGTTTCTTTTCTTCATGCGCAGCTTTGAAACAAGGGAATCGGAGATAAGCAATTCCTTTCCAAGGAGTTTTTCTATGTGTCTCTTTCTGAAAGCTGTTGCTAATGGAAGAAAAAGTAATGTTCTAAAAAAAAAAATTGCACAGATGTAGCCATTTTTGAAATGACATCCCAGTTCCCAAGGATTCGCTGTAGCCTTTCGTCAGTCTTCTTTCTCTGTGCTTTGCATTGTAATTAGCTCCATGCGTTATCAGCAGCGCGATGCTCCCGGCTGTTTCTGCAGCAGCCGCTGCTCCTCGGCAGCAGCCCCGCGCCTCCTCCCACCAGGTGCCATGCCAGCCGCATGAGTATGCCAATTCCTGGCGCTGGCTGTGATGTGAAGGCAATGGGTACAGCAGAGCTGTGGAGGCTGTAGCCCACTTTGATGTATTCCTAAGCGGGTGCTGCATCATGAAGCCAGAACTGACACAACGATGAATGAACCAGGGAAGCCCACTCCTACCAATAGCATGGGGCTATTTGGTGCATTCTCTTTTGTTAATTCAGGTTTCAAGAAACATTGACTAGATTTTATTTTTATCTTTTATAGTTATTAAAATATGCTAAATGTAGGTTGTCAGGTTTCCTCTGTGATGTGAGTAAGCTTGTAATGGAGAAGAGAAAAAAGAGAGTGAGAGGGGGGAAACATTTCCAAATCAAGGCCTACAGACCCCTTTCAGACCCGCCTCAGGTACTGCATTGAAACTCTGCATTGTATGCAGCCCAGAAGGCTAACCGTGTCCTGGGCTGCATCAGAAGAGGGGTGGCCAGCATGGCGAAGGAGGGGATTGTCTGCCTCTGTTCTGCCTTCCTGAGGCCCCATCTGGAGTGTCCAGGTCCGGGGCCTCCAGCACGAGAAGGGTGTGGAGATGATCAGAAGGCTGAAATACCTCTTCTATGAAGAAAGGTTGAGGGTGTTGGGCTTGTCTGCATAAGAGAAAGTTGCAGGCAAACCTCACTGGCACCTTCCAGTACTTGAAAGGAGCTTACAAGCAGAAGGGAAAACAATTTTTTACATGGTCCAATAGCAAGAATAACTTTAAATGAAAAGTGGGGAGGTCTAGATTAGATATTAGGGAGAAATCTTCACTCAGAGGGCAGTGAGGCACTGGCACAGCTGCCCACAGAAGCTGTGGCGCCCCATCCCTGGAGGTGCTCAAGGCCAGGTTGGATGGGGCCCTGGGCAGCTTAGCTGGTGGGGGGCAGCCCTGCCCATGGCAGGAGTTGGGATGGATTATATTTTAGGTTCCTTCCAACCAAAGCCATTCTGTGCTTTTTTGATTTTATGATTCTGTGATATCATAAAGAAAAATATATGGCCCCAAGCCACATGAAATTGAATTTGCTTGCTGTGTGCAGGACATTAACTCCTAACCTCTCTAACCTTACTCTGGGAACTTTGATATCAACAGTAACAAAAGATACATACCAGCAAGTCAGAATTCAAAGCAAAAAATACATTCAAAAATTTATCTTTGGTATTAAAAAGATGAAGAACAAAGAGGATAGTATAGAAATGGAATTCTTTTCCAAATATTACTATCATTTTTTGCATAGCATTTCTTTGGTCTTGTGCTTTTTTCTTTATTTTTGCCTTTTGGAAGTCATTGTGATAATACTAAGAGAGAGATGTGGAAATATTTTTACTTTCTGCCCAGAGATATGTACTGAGGAGAACAGCTATGGCTTTAGTTCTGTAGTAATGGAAAGGATAATTTTTTGCTGATGAGTATTTGCAGACTTATTTTATTACACTTCTAGGAGGGATATTTCGTTTTGAAATAGAAGCTTGTTTTTGAACCTCCTCTGAAATAGCCTACTGCCAAATTTACCCTCAGTCATTTTGCCCTTGATAAGAAAGTAACGAGCACTATTTTGCCATCAGTGCATTGTATAGATAAGGCATATAGTGATAAGTCAACTCATGCCTCCTTGTCTAGGATGACAGTGGAGAGCAGTGAACTTGAAGTCAAGCAGCACATTCTTTGTTTTGTAAAAAAGGCGTACAGGGTGGTGGCTTTACTCTCCCCACTGTTGTTAGTGGGATTATAAAATAGATGATATAAAATGCTTCAGGTTGGAAGGGACCTCAAAGCCCAATAAGTCCCAGCCCCTGCTGTGAGCAGGGCTGCCTCCCACCAGCTCAGGCTGCCCAGGGCCCCATCCAACCCAGTCTTGTGCACCTCCAAGGATGGGGCACCACAGCTTCTCTGGGCAGCTGTGCCAGAGCCTCACCAAGCTCTAAGAATTTGTTCTGTATATCTAATCTAAATCTCCCCACTTTCCATTTAAAACGATTTATTCTTGTTCTATCACTATAGTCCCTTCCTTCTGTCATATCAACTGTTCCTCTCAGACTGGCATAATCTAAAAACTCATTGAGAATCATAGAATCATAGAATCACCAAGGTTGGAAAAGACCTAAAAGATCACCCAGTCCAACTGTTCACCTATTCCCAATAGCTCCTACTAAACCACGTCCCTCAACACAACATCCAGCCTTTCCTTGAACACCCCCAGGGTCAGTGATTCCGCCACCTCCCTGGGCAGCCCATTCCAGTGCCTGACCACCCTTTCAGAAAAGTAATACTTCCTGATGTCCAGCTTGAATCTCCCCTGCCGTAGCTTGAAACCATTCCCTCTGGTCCTAATGAGGGATGTATGAGAATGTAATGATGAGAATGTAATTGATCCCACTGTATATGTAATTAATAAAGATATGAAACAGTACTGTTCCCAGTATAGGCCACTGACAGATACCACTCACCAATGACTTCCAGAAGATCACAGACCAGGCTTTAGGGAAATAAAATTATAAAATAGAGGGAAAGACACAGAGAAGAAACAAGCAAAAATTGCTAATACAAATTTTAGAATTCTTCATTATCCAGAGACAGTTGTGCTCTTTCTGTGTGCATGTTTCTGTCTGTCTTGTTAATTTCATTGGCGCCAGGAACTATTTTCTTGCAGCCCAGCAGCAGGGAAGGTGGGGAGCATTGTGTGCCTTGTGGGGACAGGGGTGCAATGAGAACTGGGCTGTCTGTGTGGGACTGCAGCTGCTCTTTAGTATTAGTATGTCAGATACAAGTAATTTTCCACAGGCTGACTTCATGGAATGCTTAGTTCCTTTCTCTTTGATATCAGTGGTTTATAGTTTCCTGGGTCTGTAAAGCTAAAAGAATGTGTTGCACTAGGAAGAGTTAGCACAGATCATTTGTCTAACAATCAAGGGCCATATTCAGTAAAGATCTGGCAGGAGTGCTGACAATGCCCTTGTGACATTTTATGAATTGATATGAAATAAAAGCCACAAAAAAATTACGCAACAGATTGTTCCCTTACGCTGTGGTACTGCTGACCTTGGTTATAGCTGTTAGGCTATGGGAGAATGTGAATCCAGGCCTCCTCTGTGCCACAGCTCAGGCTGGGGAGCAGCACTCAGGGTGTCCAGGGCTATGCAAAATTGGCTGATGGTATTTTTTTTGTCTGTTGGACACGTGGGCAACAAATGCAGATGCTTCAGAGAAGTATGGTTTTCAGGTGACAAGAGTTCAGCATATTGGAAAACCAAGTTCTTTTGATATTCTTTTATGTTCCTTCTTCATCTTGGTGGCCCTTTGTTTGATTCTCTCCAGTATGTCCATGCTTCTCATGTACTGGGGGACCCAGAACTGGACACAGTGCTTTAGCTGAGGCCTTACCAGTGTTGACTAGAGGGGAGGGATCACATCCCTCAACAACTCTCCTCCTGAGATACTATTAGCTATTTCTGAGGCAAAGGCTTATTACTGGCTGATATTCAATTTGGTATCCACCGGAAAATTTTGTGTGGTGAAATAAATCCCTAGAAAATTTACAACATGCAGTAGCCACCTCTGTCTTCTGGAGAACTGCTGGAGAAGGGCAGGCCCTCATCATCACTTGGTTGGAAAAAAACCGCTCAGATCATCTAGCCCAACCATCAGCCCACCCCCACCATGCCCACTGGCCACATCCCTCAGTGCAACATCCACACGATTCTTGTACGCCTCCAGGGATGGTGGCTGCACCACCTCCCTGGGCAGCCTGTGCCACTGCATCACTGCTCTTTGTGAGAAGAGATGTTTCCTAGTGACTCTAGAGTAAGCTGTGCCATTCAGGAGAGCTGAATTCCTATGCATCCTCAAACTCACAACATGCAGGGTGGGTTTAGGGGTCAGCATTTTTTAAGAAGTAATCACCTTCTCACAACTACTGTGCTGCCCAGCCAGTGCTCAGTGTGGCTGTCCCTGCAGCTCTCCTCTCAGTATCACAGCTACCCCATGTACTGTCAGACTTTACTCAGGCAGTGTCACTGCAGAAACTTTCCTGCACAAAGGATACAGACAGATGTTATTTATTTGATATAAATAACTGCACATATTGGATATGTGTACAATAACCATTTTGCTTATGCTTATTTATAAGCAGTATATCTGAAACAGCATGGAGCACACCCAAAAGTGGCATAAACAAAATCATATGAATTTATACAAATATGTGCCAATCACATGTAAACACTGCAAATATTACATCTTCCTGTGGTGGTGACAGGGAATAATTTGAGAATTTTCAGCTGTGCAACTTTCAGAGGCTGGAAAGACTTGGCCTCATTTTGAAACTCTAATAGAATTTTGAATGTATTTCATGTGACAACCATGTCCTCAACCTGCTATTTGTTATTTCTTTTTAAAACACAAACAAACTGAATTTTCATTTTGTTTACAGGACAGTGGAACAGGAGATAACAGCTGCATTGAAGAAATATTGCGGGTAGGAATTCTTAAAAAAAAAAAAACCCTTTCTTCTAGTGCCATTTTGTTTACTCTAAAAAGGGAAGAGAACAACAAGAATATTGCAATTACTGCTGTTAAATATATCACACTTTAAGATTGTCATCTTTCTAAGGAACAAATAGGCAAAATTATTTACCAAATAAAAGAATTGAAAATGTGTGTAAGCAACCTTCCAGAGCCTCTGGCTTTCACTGCTACTCTGTGCCAGTACAGCTGACCTTCATGCATGCAGAAGCAGATAATGGGATAAATTATAAACTGAAATGTACAACGATGTTTCAGGTTTACAAACCATGCAAAGTGCGTGTTTCCATTAATCACGACTGTCAAAAATCTTAATTTTGAAGGGAGGTCTAGGAAGGTCATTTTCCACCTGGATTTAATTAGAATCCATTATGTAATGTCATTATCTCCATTATGTCCATTATATAATGACAATGTGCAAAATCTGCAGTTATTTCCATATTTCATTATTATTTCTTTTATCCTAGTAATTTCTAGTTTATTTTCATGGACCAAATTAATACATATCCGGACACATCTTGGGTTGAATCAACTTTAATATTGATTATTTTTTGAAGCAGACAAACTAATAAACAGTGAACCATTTTCATGTATTTTAATTCCTGCTCTTTTCAGTTCTCTTTCTACACTGACAATACAATATTTTTTTAAATTTACAATTCATATAATAGTAAAACACCAAGCCAGGTGGATGGAATGGTAAAACCTCTCTATTACTGTGTGTGTATCCACCTCTTGGACATCCACTACCCAAATATTCCAGATTGTTTATAAACTACGGGGCTATAAATATTTGGTTTAGAGATTAGCAGTGCATTAAGACTGTTGTTTCTAAAGGCATTTCTCCATTCTCCATGAATATATTAAATACAGCTTTTAATTCTTGAACTGGACAAAGAGTTTATTGAAGGTTGATTATGATGGATTGCTTATGACTTCACTGGCAGAGCTTTTACTTAGCTAACATTTACAAAGTGGGCTGTGGTAGGACTTAATTGCATATCCAACAAGTCTTAGACTTAATCTGTATTCTTTTGTTACAAGTTAGTAGTGGATATTGTAATTCATGAGAGCTTTTTCACGATGCACTGAGATTATGACGTGGGACTCATTCACCCATTTTTTTTTAACATAGGATTTTTTAAAAGAACAGCTAAGAAAGTCAGTTTTCTTCCTTAAATACAAATTGTTCAAGTGGCCAAAAATGGAGAAGACACGGTTCCTTTCATGTGTAGGAACATGGATATGTAAAAGACTCTAATCTCATACAGTCCCATGTAGTGCAGAATGCACCATATGACCTTCAGTTGTAAGGTACATCTTCAAACTGGTGAACACAGTTTCTCTCTTCTTTGTCTCTTGGGCATATTCCTCAAGAAATATTTTTGTGAAGCTTCATGATGAAATGTGCAGCACATCCTTGGATGGATAGGACCCTTTTGTTCATTGGGATTTATTCAAAAATTCTTTCACTTTGCTTAAAAGTTGAATGAATCATTAACTACAAGCAGCTTTCCCAAGACCCCTTGTTCACTTCTCACAGGTCATTGTGCTGGCTGCAATCCTGTCTCTCCCTGGAGAAGGCAGCCTAAGAACAAAAGTACCTAGCAAAAATACCTGGCTGAGGATCTGCACGGCACATCTACTCCTGCCAAGGACTGCAGAGCACTTTGTCCCATGTCCTACTACTTCCCTCAGCTTCTTTTACCTTTACCAACTTCTTTCTGATTTCCTTGATTCTGCAAAATCATGTTCAGAAGACTTTAAAGGATGGCAAGAGACATGTAAGGCTTTCAAAGCTGAGACTGCCTCCTTACAGGGCAGGAGGTAGGGGGCAGTTTAAGTATGCTTAGAGTCGAAAGCCACACTTAACATCAGTATTTCACTATCTGCTGAGGGTTAACACAACAAAAATAGAGAGCACACCACTTTCACTCTCAGTCGTGTCCTCTCACTCAGTTTTCATGGATAACCTCTCCAGTCTGCCCATCCTCTATGTCTGTAACCTGAGTATCACTTCACACTAAAATTCCCCCACATCTCTGTGTCCAAGACTACATGTGAATCCTGCAAACTAGTACTCTGTAACATTTCTAACTGAAACTCTTTGCTCACAAAGGTCTAATTCTGGTCTGATTTCTCATTACACTCCTTAATTACTGCAGCATCCTTTTCTTGGTGCAGTCTTGTCCACATCCATTCATGCTGCTGGATCATAATCTTAACTTGATATCTGGCCCATATTGCCTTTGTCTTTGCATCTCACCACTATCATCTCCTTCTCTATTATGTCCAGCAGAGTTACTTGTCTTCAATTCTAAGCCCTCGTCTACTCAAGTGCTGACATATTAGCTACCAGCTATCACAGTGATGCCAGATTCCAGCACACAACAGTGTCCTAAATTTTATATGAATTAATTTATCCCATATTTCCCATCAGATCTGGGAAGAGCATTAAACACTTTCCCAATTACCTCCATACCTACCTTCAGATCCCCTCTTAAGAGTCTCCTTTTTCACAAGGACTGTGGGAAAACAGTGGTGATGTCGGGTGTATACCTGTTTCTCATGCTTAAACGTTGCTGTCCCTCATAGAATTATAGAATATCCAGAGTTGGAAGGGACCCATAAGAATCATTGAGTCCAACTCCTGGCTCCATACAGGACCAGCCAAAAATCAGACCATAAGTTGGAGAGCATTGTTCACAGGTCCCTTGTACAACCCAGCTAGGCCCACCTGTTCTCATTTTCTTGAAAGATTAACTCTCTGAGTCAAGCACTAGCGTAGTACAAAAGCTGTTCATAGGTACTCTTGCAGTACAAATCAGTATCAGAGTGGTCGTTGTTACTGACATTGGTCTAAACAGCAACAGTAATAGCTACTCATTTTGTAAACTTGGCATCCACACTTTTCCAGATGTCATCCTCCATAGCCTCTTTTTGTGCTGAATGGGTCAATTCACTTCTAACACAGATTTATTTTTATTGCTCTTCAGAAACAAGGAACACCATTTCCATGTTGTTGTTGGAGATGCTATTTCCATAGTAAAGCCAGAATTTGCTAGGCAGTTTCCATACAGGTTTTCAGGGCAGAACAATGAAAATCCAAGGGAGTTGCAATCTTTGTGTTCCCCTCAGAAAAGATAGCTCTTCAACATCACACCTAAGCATGTTTGTAACAGGAAGGGTCACTCTTCCTTTTGTAATTAACAGGACATCAACAAAAGGAAGAAGTTGTTTACAAATTTAAATTTTAGGAAACCTTGCACTCCATTATAATTACCTCTTCCAAAAGACAAAGCAGACAGTAGCTAGCCTCCCTTCCTAGACAGTGTGTTCCCTGCCCAGACTGCTCTAGCATGGGATAGGCACTTCACAGTGGGCCATGTGTCCTCATTTCCCTGTCAACGTGAAGGGTGGTAGAAAGTTTGCCCAGCACCTTCTCTGGCTTCTTCCCTCTGTTCCCTTCCCCCTACTGTGTGGGAGGAGGTGAGGGTGTGCATCCTTATCACCTGCAGGTTTCAGAACCTGACCAGAGCTAACATCTATGCCTGGGCTTCCAGACCAGTTTAGGCATTGCTTAAAAATCTCCAAATCTTATTTTGCACCGATCATGTCAAGAAGATTGTATAGGTTTTGTGTGGTCTGTATGTAACACAGGGTTCCACAGCTTAAGTCAAGCCTTTTTTTGATGTGTTTTACCGAGTGTATCAAAGCTCTGTAGACTTTGTAAATTGACAGATCATTCTGCACAGAACTGCAGCTTCCAAGCAAAGCCCCCAAGAACTGAAGCACGGAACTGCTTCGAGTCCTGAAGGAGGTTGATTAACAAGACAGTAACCCTGTCGAGATTGGAGCTGCTGTAAGGACTCCTGCTGAGTTTATAATCACTGCAGGAATCCTGTACCTAATCTAATGCCATGCACTAATTCATAGCAACTTCTTCAAAGCATAGTGACTTCTCTGTCCAGCTGCAGGCACACATGTCAAGGACAGAGAAAATTAAAAGTAAAGCCTTCAATAAAAATAACTGAAATTGTTCTGTCTGGAAAAAAGGAGGCTCAGGGGAGACCTTATCACTCTCTTCAGTGACCTGAAAGGAGGATATGGCAAGGTGGGACTGGCTTCTTCTTCCACGTAACAATGATAGGATGAGAGGGAAAGGCCTGAAGTTCAGGTTGGCTATTAGGAAACATTTCTTAGAGCAGTGAGGCAGTGAGGCATAGGCTGCCCAGGGAGGTGGTGCAGTCACCTTCCCTGGAGGTGTACAAGAACCGTGTGGATGTTGTACTGAGGGATGTGGTCAGTGGGCATGGTGGGGGTCGGTTGGTGGTTGGACTAGAGGATCTGAGAAGTCTTTTCCAACCGTAATCATTCTATGATTCTATGCAGTAAGACCAGTTTGCAGATGTTATGTCAAATAGAGAGAGAAAAGATGCATTATTTCACTGTAGCTATAAAAGGTAATTCCTTGTAAGCTTTCACATTGTAGATGGAGGACATGCTAAAAAAGTTTGAAGCAGAAAAAAGGAGTTATACTATTCAAATATCCTTAATTCCATGCTGCCATGAGCAGTTGCTGCCTCAATCGCTGTGATATCTCCAAAGCCAATCTATTCCCTGCGTCTCCTGAAACACAGTCTTGCTAACTGAGCTTCATAATTTTAGCTGATTTCTATTTGCTTGTATGTGTTTAACTGTATATGCTGTTATTACTGGTGAGGTTTGGAGTAAATATTTATTTTGCTGTAGTACATGCAAAAAATGGGAGCAGAAGTTCTGCCACTCCACTAACAACTGTTGCAACCAATATCTGATACACTCTGAGTATATTTGCAATGGATTTAAGGAGAAAGGTTGAGTGCTGGATGTAGGCAATTCGGGATTTGTAAGATAAGTGGTTTGAGATTGATCTGGCTGCTCTTACAGCCTTAGCTGTGATTTCCTAGAGCT